TTAGTGATTTCATGCAGATCTCACTGATAGTGAGTACTAGAACCCAAAATAACATTTGCCCATTCTCTGTGAGTAGTTGGAGGCTCCTTTGCATGTTATATTAGTTGCTTTAGCAGTCTAGTAGCCCCTCTTATTTGCAGGTGTTATTTCTGTCCTGAGAGCTCAGCTGCTGAGAAAGGAGGAGACACTTGGTGCAACGCCTGAAGTAGGAAACTTGAGGAACCTGAATTCCCTGAACAGCATGAGCATGGAGAAATTTTTACACAAGACTTCAGTACTGGACATGGCAAGAAAGGAATTCAGCTCCACAATTTCCACCTCTCTTGAGTGCAGTCTGTTTGGTATGAGGCTACTGTTCAGCCAAAAAAGGAAGACAAAGCCATGGTCAGTATATGTTCCTGAGTGACTTGTCTTTCTCCAAGGATCTGTGAGTGGCAGCTGAAGATACAGAGAAGTTTGGCAGGTCCGTTTCCTGTATGAAGAATTATTTGTGAAGATTACATGATAAATCAGATGCTACATGCTCTCCACATTACTGTATTGACTAGACAAGAATTCAAAATTTCCACATTAGTCCTCTGGTAATAGGCAACTTTTCTTCCTAATCCATGTGAAAAGATGAGCCTTCTGAGATATTCAACTGTCCCCATAACTTGTGTAGTGTTATCAGGGGTGAGCTCTGGGTTTGGCTTCCAATCTGTGACCCACAATGTGCCAGAGCACCCTTGGAAGGGTCTCCTACAGCCCAGGAAATCACTTTATGCGGTATATTGCACTGGATCACTGACACTGGTTTTCTACCCTCTTCGCTGTGATATTCACTGGGATATTTTAATGATTGAAATGCAAATGACCAGGAGAAGAGTGTGTTTAGATCTGGAGAATATGAAGAAGTTGAAGTTATCAGTGTAGATCATGTGGCACCTGGAGACAAGGTTCGGGGTGGACTTGGCCATGCTGGGGTAATGATTGGACAGGTCTTTTCCAACCTAAACAATTCTTTGATTCTATAATTCCATGATTACACTCTTTCCTAAAACTAGACCAGTACTAGATCAGTTAGTTGCTTGTGCTACGAACAGCTCTCTTTATCCCACATCATCAACATTACACAAGACTTCCTGCAGCTTCCTGCTAGCTCTACTGCTCTGGTACAGACAGTCCTGTGTTTTTGGGTGTTTCTGGGACTGTGAATGTGTAAATACACTTATTTTGATGGCATGGCACTGCAAGACTGAGGATTTATCAGAGCTGTATTATTAGTAGCTGAAACTGTATGCTGAGGTGATGAGTGTGGTTGTGTGCACAAGCATGGCAGGGTAAGGCAAGCTGGTTTTTGGGGAGTTGTAGGTAGAGAGGGGATATGGGAACTACTGGAACTTCATCTTTGACTGAGAAAACTTGTTATTTTTGCAGACAATAAAGGGAACAAGCAAGCAAGCATCAATTTCAAGTAAAAATCAAAGACAGTCAACAGGGAAAGAGCAAAGATTCTTGAGGAATCACTTTTTAAATGAAATTTGCATAAATACATATATTATCTATGCATGAACAAATATATATTTTATTTTGATGTGGTAGTGCATGCCCCCTTCCTTCTCAGGGCTGCTCTACAATCTCAGGGATTCCCATAAAGCCTTGACATTTGTGTAATGAGTGTCCCTTGACCCTACCAAGAACACCTTTCATGGCAAAGGTGGGAGCACCACTGTCCATATCAGGAATTCCTGTTGCCTGGTTAAGGTCCAGGATGAGGGAGGGAATAATCAGTCACATCCTAAAGCCTTGGAACTTTCCCTACCTGAACTGTAGCCCAAGTAGAATGGTACCTTTGTTGCTGGAGTTTTGGTAACTCCAGTGGAATTGTTACTAGAGTTTTGGAAGCTCCAGTAATTCGACCTGGATTGTGGTCAGGATAGAAATTTATGGATGACTAAACATGTTGAATCCCTTTAAACAGTGGTCACAGCAGTCCTAAGTGAGGCCAGGGGCTCTCCTGGCTTGCAGCATTTCCCTCTGAGTGGGGCCTCTCAGAGCTCATGAACTCTCAAGTCTGTGAAAATTGGAGGACTGATTTTCAAAAATTTCACAGAAGCTGATGTGGCTGTCAGAGACTGAAACAATTAATGACTTACACATTCTAAGATCACCAAAAGACTTTTGCAAACCGAAAAGAAGGAGCTTCTTACCCAGCAAAGCCCAACCCTCCCTGAGTACTGCCAAGGGACCTTTAGATCAGATAAGTGGATGCCCTTGTCCAGCTATCCTGGGTGCAGATGCCTGCCTGAGGCTGCAAACTGCGTTTCCAGATAAGGGAAGAGGCGGAGAAGAGGCAAGTCCTGCAAGGTGGGAGAATCCCTTTTATCATGCCAATGTCCTCCCTGCACATCTAGCCTGGACTGTGCATCTCAAATGTTGGACCACGATGGACATCATGTTGGACCATGATGAACAATAGGCAGCTGCAGCTCTCTTAGGAGATGTCAGAGACTCAGTGACATGTCCATGATACCATCCATCATAAAATTCCCCACCCTGGGGAGTTACAAGGCCTTCCCAGCTGAGCTAGAAGTGCATAATAACTCAGACATCTCTGAGGTTTTTTTTTTTGGGGGGGGGGCTTCCTCCAGCCCCAGCAGAGACCACCACTTCAACCAACAGACATGGAAGCTGCAACTACTAAGTTTCATTGCTGGATCCAGTGGGTAGTGACTAAATATATCTTTCCACCTTTATCCTTTCTTTCCCTTTCTTTCCATTATGCATTTCCTTAAGTTTATCTTTATGCTTTAATAGTGCTCTATTGCTATGCTCTAATGTTGCTATATTGCCATAGATTATTGCTATAGGTGATAACACCCAGAACAGCAAAATAGCTATTTACCTTTGAAACAAAACTGTTCTAAAATAAACCCTACATATATATGTTTACAAACACCAATTATTCAGTGTTATTACAATCTAATCCACCCCAAGGGGTTTATTAACAAGAACCTGGGTTACCCTCCCCTTCTGGGGTGGGGTCGTAAAAGTGGCCCAGGCCAATATCCTCCACTCCTCAAGGTCAACCTTTGCGCAAGTGTAGTTTGAATGTTGCCATCTGGGATTAATAATGAAGTCACTATTGTAATTGTAGTAAATCCTATTGAATCACTTTATAAATGCTAAATTAGTCAATGATTAAGTGCTGCTAAAACCCTCTAGACATAAACTCTTGACCACGTCCGGTATTAAGATTGGATTCAGCTGTACCTGGATTCCATCAGGAGTCTGGAAAGCAAGGGGGCCCTTTGTGAACCTAATGACTCACTTGAAGGATCTTTCTTACCTTTTTTGCCCTTATCCTTTGCATTTCCAGTTATTGTGTAAATCATTTGAAAGTGATTTTTGATGATTTCCCTTGATCTTTGTAGGAAGTAACAGAGCAAACCTTGCCATCAAATTTTGCTGTGCTTTTGCAAATTTATATTGAACTCCCTTTTGGTAATGCCTTTGATGGTGATCCTTTAAGCCACCTTGGTTGGTGATTCTATAAGCAACCCTAACCACTCCTTTGCAACATTTGATTCCTCAAAAGTCAGCTCAGGAATCTATTGAAGAGCTCCATTTCAAAGTAGAGTCTCCCATTACTTGCATTCAGACTTCCAACTCACTGTATTTCAAACCCTTTCAGCTAATACATTTATACTTCCTGCTTTTTAGAAAATACCACTGAAAAGTGCCTCCTAACACCAATTATTTGCTGAGTTTTGACATACTTTCCCTGTTCCTCTCAGTGCATGTGTTCCTAAAGCATCACAGACGTTCTCATCACCATTATATGACTGAAAAACATACCAAGGAAGCTACCATGGGTCAAGGAGCAAATCACTGAGAAAGGCAGCAATAGAACCATGCAAGTTCTCTAAGTGCCGCGAGTAGTCCAGATTCTCTCCTTAACACTCTTGACGAATTATTTATAGATGTATTCACGTAGTCAGTAAGATATAAAAATGTTCTAATTATATCATTCAAATCAAGGGACAATTATGCCCTTAGTTTGCCAGACAATGCTTTGCCAAAAAAGGCTTGCCAGAAATGTTTTGACCGAAAAAAGGGGGACCATCTAGAGCATCTGCAGACGAGACACTATAAAATCTCCAGAGACACATCTAGCCTGTCTCCACAGAGGGCTTCAAGGTAAGTGCACACATTTTGTGAGCTTGAAGAAAGAGGAAATGTCCTTAAAATATTCTGCTCCATTTCTCCTCCCTCTGCCAACCATTTCCATAAGGGAGTGCCCATGTGAACAAAAATTTTCAATGTCCTTTCAATGCATGTCTGTATTTTCAACTACAGTTATTCTTTGGAATTCTGTTCAGCAATAAGAAACAAGCACCATTCCTATTTTACAGGGTTGGCCAGATTCCAGGACTTCTGCAAAGGTAACACACTGAGTAATGCATTCCTAATCTACAGGAGAGGACTTTTAAACAGCTGCATGAGTTCTCTTTGTAACTCCTATTATATTTCTGCTGAATTTGTTTAGGCTACGTAGTTGAAAAAAGGGAGGATCTAAAAAGTGAAGTAATTTTTCATTTTTAACACAAAAGGCAATTCTTTTTACAAGAAAGTCCTCTCCTGAAGACTCTAACTAAGGACCAGATCAGAGAGGGATTTTCTCTGCCTGTAGATTCTTTTCTGTGAAAAACTTCAGTCTGGTCAGAATTCATCAAGGTGAGTTACCCAACTGATCTCAATATTCAGAAGATGTTCTATTTACTGTTAAAAGACCTACATGTTGTAGAAGACTAAGTCTTACTTTTGGGTCAGACAAGGATATTTTTAATTTCAAGTCAAAGTGGATTTAACAGATTTCTTCTTAAGAGCTTATCTTGGAGACTAATTAGCAATTTATTAGCTAAAGAGCAAGGAGCTTTCTCACTGATCTAGACTATATTATTTTTCTCACTGATCTACAACTCTTTTTCTCCCCCCAGACATCTCTGCTGACAAACATTCAATAGAGTGCAGCCATGGCCTCTGGAGATGCTGAGATGGCCATTTTTGGGGAGGCAGCTCCTTATCTCCGGAAGTCAGAGAAGGAGAGAATTGCGGCCCAGAACAAGCCTTTCGATGCCAAGACATCTGTCTTTGTGGTACATGCAAAGGAATCCTTTGTGAAAGGGACAATTCAGAGCAGGGAAACAGGGAAAGTCACTGTCAAGACTGAAGGGGGAGAGGTGAGTGAAAAACAAGGCTGAAGGACAACATCTGATTCATATTCTGAGTTTTCAGTTGACATATGTAGATCTTTTGTTTCCTTGGCAGACCCTGACCGTGAAGGAAGATCAAATCTTCTCCATGAACCCTCCCAAGTACGACAAAATCGAGGACATGGCCATGATGACCCACCTCCACGAACCCGCTGTGCTGTACAACCTCAAAGAGCGTTACGCAGCCTGGATGATCTACGTAAGTGGCAGCAGCAGCTTCCTTTGGGCAGCTGCAGGAACTGCTCTGCCAGGCCCAGGGGAAGCCAACGTGCTGTGTCCCTTCCTGGCAGACCTACTCGGGTCTCTTCTGCGT